AAATGGAAAGGTCGGATGGGAGACTTTCTTTATATGCCAAGCTGCAAGGTACGCCGTCAGCATCTCTTCTTCCTCTTCGGGCTTTCGGCGCTGGTGGTATGCGGGCGGTAGTCTTTAATGTCACTGCCTCCACCTTGCTGTGCACACAACTCGTTTTAGGACCACGCTTGCCCCCCCCCTCTCCCCCGTGTCCCCCACATGGCAGTACCCTCGCGCAAAAATCTTGTTACCGTCTTCTTGCATCGCACTTTTTTCTGTCGTCGCCCTTACGGAATTTGCCATGATGGGGTTGTTTATGGCCGTTTTCACATCCTGATGACCGGTAGTACTGATGACGATAATGGTGATGATGCTGGCGGTGTCGCTTTTATCCTGACTGAGGCACGTCCCTTTGGCCCTTCTTAGTGTTGTTTTTTTTGCGCTGACAATGCTGATGCCTGTGAGGGCGTTGGCTTTAGTGTTGACATCAGGAGTAACTACCTAACGGAACCCAAGGCTGCGGATGACTTCAGTAGCACTGTTGGTTCGCTTCCTTTGGCCATAAACACCCTGCGATACCCGCTTTATCGGTGTTTCGGAAACAAGAAAACATAAACCAGCGATTATTTTGAAGACGTCTGGTGGCATTGCAGCGACGTATGACCAACCGACGTTGGTGACCTGACACAAACCAATGTAAGCAATGAGGTCCACCGTTGTCCGCAGGATGACGCAGTGCTGACTTGTGTGTGAATTCTTTCTACTCAAGCAGGCATTTACTGTAGCTGCTACTTTTTCACACTCTGTGTTTTAATGGCAAAAAACAAAGTCAAGCTTACCATAGGCGGGTAGGCGCGCAGTGACTGGCAAAAGCACACACACACACACACACCACACACAGGACCTGGTCTTTAATCCCACGCGTTTCAATCTTCCTTCGGGGATGGGGGAGAGAAGATATCCGGTTTCGCGTCAGTGAGCGTTGCATGACGGCCGAATTAAGGGACCACCGCGGCCTAAGAAAGGTCGAGTTCTCCCGCCAACTTACAAGCATCCAAGTCAGAATGATCAGTGCATCGTGATGGCTGAAAAGGGTGTTCAGTTGTTTATGTTGAGGACTTGTGTGTTGAGTACGAGTTGAATCTATTTCGCACTCTTTTTTCATACCGCCATACACTGATGGGTCGTCAGACGCAAACAAACTGCAAATTAAGGTAACTGTCAGCTGTAGCTGAACCTCGGTGTAACGAGGTTGGTTCCGTACTTGTGGGTGCTGACGTAACCGGTGATCATTTTGCTGGCAAATCATCGCCGCCCCAGTCGGCGACCCAGATCAATAGAACTCGTTATATTGTCATCTGTCCGGATATTTCGGAAGGTCCATTTAGTTAGCTCATCGCTCCTGTAAATTCTTGTTCTTGTTTTCCGTCTGTGGACATGCACATATGAAAGGAGTAAATGCTAATCATTAGAGTTTTTGATCTAGGCTCAGCAACACAGAAATGATTCTTCTTTTTGAGGGAGTACAGATTTAACACCGTTGAACTTTTTTCTTGAAGTTGCCTCAGAGCCCACTGCAAGGCCTATGTAATGCACACTGTTTGATTACCAGCTAGACCCCCAGTGAACATACTACTCCATCCTTCCAATCACAATGCCTCATGCCTACATCTGACTCTGAGGCAGCGCCCTTGGGAAAATCGGCAATTAAATCACGTAATAGGGACTGAAAATTGCCGTACTTCGCTATGGAAACGGGGTGGCAGCCAGCATGTTTCGGGGGTCTATCAGTTATAATTTTTATCACTAAGATGTTTTATGCAATGATTCAACGGACGATGTAGAATGGATGAATGGGAGCAGTGTGAGTCAGCGGAAAATGCGAATGTTAGATAGCAGAAGCAGATTTCGGGGAGAATAGGTCTTATCAG